CATCCAGTTACATACAGATCACAGAGTCAGATGCTGCGGAGTTAACACTGAAAGGACTTGTCCTGACACACTGGGAAATTTTTCATTGTAACGTTCCCAGCTAAAGGTGGTACACCAAATCACAGGGTCGAAATATGACCAATTGTTTCCTAGCAACAAAGTCTTTCTGTATAAGGAACATTTTCAGGCAACTCCTTGGGCATTGCTCTATGTAAACTTTAACCCCTCAATGTGCGTGGTAAAAATAGAGAAAAAAAATCTCACATTTCTTTGCTCTCTCACTCTCATTTATCTCATCTCAGTACTTGGCTTTTTTTTTTTTGTCACTGCTGCTCGTGATTTTACCCCAACTCTGTCTTTGTCCATCCCTCTATCCCTGCCCTACTCTTTGGCCCCACAGCTATCAGATTGCAGTATTTTCCTCCTCCCCTTGTGAAACCAGATAATTCGACCTGTGACCTGTGTGCTTCCCAACTTTAAATCTGATTACCACAACTCAACAAGCATGCCACCCTTCCAGCTGCAACAGATATTTGCAATAGCTGCTGTAAAATATGTGCATTTCTGTCTGTTTTAACAAATAGGCAGGAATGTCCTTCAACCTCTCTGATAAATGAAGAAGTCTGTGTATTTGTACGTGTGAGTATTCTTTGTCCGTTGCAACAACTGTCCATCTGATCCACTTCAGACTTGGTGGGTGCATTGAGGGACAATAGTAAGTGCTGTGTTGTGTTTGAAGTCGTTTGGGGCTTTCCTGTTCTGCAACATCATCTATGAAATGGCCATAGATAGGTCACCTGACATGTGGTCTCAGAGATGAGATGATGTCAGACTTCTCTTTGACGCTTTTGAAGTTTAGATAGCATTATTTGCTCCAAAGAAAACTCAAATGACGGTGTTATCTACTTTTGCTGATTCTAACATGCCTTTGAAAGCACGTACTGCACTAGTAGTGACAAAAGGAAGCCTTTTACAGTATTTCTGCAATGGCTTTCATTAAGTAGAAGCCTTTCAAAGTAGAGTTTTTCTTGTAATTCTAGATGTCTTTGAACTAGTATTTCTTATCGAGCTTTGAAAAGCTATTCTCCACATTCTCTTTCACTGCTTGTATTGGCATGAGGTGTCTGCATTAATACCGAGTTGACTTATGATAAGACACCTTTTAAAATCATGTAATTACAGGCAGGAAAAATACTAAATACGAAAAACATTCATAGACATTATCCACAACTGAAGCCTGCAACAAGACATAAAATTGTGTGTTATTTTTTTCCTTGTTAAGACATCAACTGTTTGTTTGAAATGGGTTGCAGAAGCTAGAGTTAGAAAATATTGACATTCCCCGCAGCAGTCTCATAATAAGAAAGGTTAATTGCTCTAATTAAGACAAAAAGCAGCTTTTTTTAACCATCATCATAATTTACCTGTGAATGGATTTGAAAAATGTGATTTGCACTCAGTATGCTGCCTCTGTCATTTAAAGAAGACGGAATTAGAGGCTGATTTGTATGTGACATTGATTTGTATGTACAGAGAAGGAAATCTCTTTTACTGTGTCTGCCTTAACAACACACATCATATATTTCGTCAGGAACGCCGAAGCAGCTGGTTTTTTGTTAATGTTTTTTCACAGATGCAATCTCAGCTACAGTCAGTTTTTCAGTCTCATTCCTACCAATGTAGGCCCGTACTGTAGGATATCCACTCAATGTTAGTGCTGAGGCATTTCGGCCTCATCCTCCTTCCCAGTGGTCACATCTATCTCATAGCCTCTCGCAAGTAATTTAATAAAGACACCACACACCTATACACACATGCGTGCAAACTGAAGGTCATTCTTAATGGTCTCAGAAGCCTTTCCTTTCACCATCATCACAAACTCTCTTCAGCCTTGTCTGCCTTCCCACCATTCATCCAACATACCCCCTCCCTTCCCTTTAGTCCTCATTGTCTGTCAAACAAGAGATCCTTATAAATAGGCATGTGACAGCTGACAAAAGAAGGGGCATCCACAGAGGATACTGTCTCATTTTACACAAAGCTAATGGCTAAATAAAGACTACCACTTAGGAGAGTGAGAGAAAGAGGCCTCTTTGGAGGGGCGATTAAAAACTACAGCCTGTACTCTCATTTTTCATACCCCCATATTTCTCTTCTTCCTTTTTTTATTTCCATCCTTTCCCCCTCATTTACTCTGTTGCAGAGTATACCTCATCCCAAGACACTTGTTACTTCCTATCTGAGGCCGAAGAGAAGCAAGTCAATGCCCATCCATGCAAAAGAAATTCCCTTGATAAAACAGAAAAATTCAGTTGCTATTCTTCAATATGCATGTGCATCCATGTATTCTACAGCAAGCAGATGCATAAAGGATACCAATATTCTTATTTTGTTTTATTGAATATACTGCAGCATTAAACACGTTGACCATTCAAACACTCGCAGACAAAGAACAACACTTGTGTAATCATTTCACCATTTCTCAGGTATAGTCAGAAGTGGTCAGACATGTGCATGCCTTTGTGAGACTGTGCAGCCACATCATTAGGATGATTTTGAAGCTAGGTCATGTTGGTTTAGAATAAAGACTGGAAACAGATACCACTACAATTCACTAATTAATACTCAGGTAGCAAGTAAATCTTGGCATAAATGAGCAAAATTTCACTAGAGTCTTTTTTTAGCACGCTGCAGTGTGTCATTAAATCAGTCTGAGAAGAAACTCGACTTCTGCATCTTTGCTTGTCTCTGGTTTCAGTCTTTAGAATATCTAGGATGTGACAGACACTATGGCTAATATGTTTTTTTTTAATCAAAATAGTCTTACTGGTAAGAAAAAGTAAACTATTAACAAACTTTCTACAAAATTTACAGACACAGAGATCACAATTCTCTCACAATGAAAAATCAAATGAAACTTAACTATCCTAACTAACTAACTTGACCATAGCGCTTAAAAGTAACCAGGTATACCCACTTGCTAGGAGCACATTCACAGTCCGGCTCATCAGCGCTCCAAGGCTGCTGCCAGTCACACAGCTGTAAGCCCCCGCCACACCATGGGGAGACTGGCCATCCCTAGAAGTTGGCATCAGGAGAACGGATCCATTGACCAAATACTGAAGGTAGTCATTCCCCTCTGGAAGTAGTGGCTGTCCATCCTTTAGCCAGGAGACATTGAAGGGTGTATCACTGGCCCCCAGATTGCAGTCCAGCAAGAGGGGCAAACCTGGTTCCAACACTACATGGCTGGGTCCAGCGCCGCAGCTCAGCTCCACGGAAACCAGCTTTTCTATGCAGAACAAAGGAAGAAAAGGTTGTTAACTTTGCTCTGTACTTTTAGTTAACCTCAATGTGTTTTTATTCTAATAAATAAATGGCATTCTTGTATTTATATTGCTCTGTGAACATCATCACAGCTATGCTATAAACAACATTAACTATGCTCACAACTGATTAGTTTTCCTTTCTAAAAAGGCAAAGTCGTTTTATAGCGTAGTCCCTCACCATAACTTCAAAAGAGTTGATAGCACTGGCAGCACAGATGGAGTAGGGTAGTGCATACCAGAAGTAGGGTGTTTTGGGGACAGAGAGAAGCCCAGAGGAGGAGGGGGAGAAACTCTGCAAATGAAATGGGCGCATAGGGCATGAAGGGATTTGTATGTCAGCAGCAGGACATTAAAGTCAGTGAGAGAGGGGAAGTCCTGGAGTGAGAGGTCAGAGTGAGCAGCTGAATGCTGTATAAACTGCAGTCAAAGGAATGTTAAATGATGACAAATTTTCCATGCAAAAGAAATTGTCATGAAACAATGATTTAATGTGAAACACTACATACTTATCATAGAAAAGCTTCAGATAACGGTGAAAGTAAATAAATATTTTCATAGAACATTTTTCCCCCTCCATTGTGCATCAGCATGGTTTACTTTATGGCCTTTCTTTATTGCCTCACCCCACCACCACCAGCACCATCCACTTACCCAACACACCCCCTCATTATAGAGAAAGGAGGGGAGAGGGTAGTCACAAAAACTTGTCCTTTGAAATACTTGTATAAATAACAAGATCAAGACAAAAAAAACAAAAAAAACCAAAAAAAACCAGAAAAGCTATCTAAGGAGAAAAAAGAATTAAAGAGACGAAGGTCAAGAGATCTGGAGATGAAAGATTCAAGGAATATCAGCTTTTGCAAGAAATTATAGCACATAATTATCATTTATGAGGTAGACGGAGTGCAGTAGAAACATACAGAGAAAACCAAAAACTGCAAGGGTCAATAATGCTGAAACACTTTGCTTCCGTGAAGAAGTAGCAAGATGACATTTATGTCTTCAGTAGAGCAATACTGCACAGCATTTAGTGGAGCAAGTGAAACTTCCATAGTAGTATAAGTATCTAAAATGGTCACATTTAAACATGTTTTGTTCTTTTTTTAATTGCTTATTTTTAATAATTGAAAAGAAAAGAGAACATACATATCCACAAACCAACCACATAAAAGCCTAATAAAATTAAACAATTAAACATCATCTTACTACAGGAGCACCTGTCAGGCTGTATTGGAAGTCAGTGAGTTGGAAGCAGGAAAAATGGACAAGCAGAAGGATCTGAGAGACTTCGATAAGTACTAGATTGTGATGGCTAGGTCACTAAATTGACTGTTGCATACTAGTTTACTAGGGATGCAGTACTTGTTGATCACTAAAAATGTGACAGACATTTTAAGTTTAACCATTTTATTGCTGCATGTAATTACATTTTTCATGTCAAGCCAGTGTTCCATCCTTACAGTCGATATCGCATAACCCTATGAAGGAAGATGTATATACAGCTGAGAGACAAAGGGACCAAACGCCACAAGTGCATACAGGTCTTTGTCTGGGTGTTAGGTAAAATGTTGGCAAATTAAACATTTTTCCATTTAACAAAAATAAAGACTTAAGAGTCAGTAACTGACAAATATGACAAATTTGCAAGATGTCATATTTTGAACAATATGAATATATAAAATGAAGAATAAATAAATAAATATTGAAACATTAATTTTGAATCATGGCTATAAATAATTTAATATCCAATGGGTTGCTCGATGAAGTGTCTCCATGACATGATGGTGCTCACCCGTGCTCACTTAGTCTTTTTATCATTGGAAGAGTGTTGTCTGCATGTCTATTTTCTAAACTTTCTAGACTGTAAGCATTTTTATAGTGGTTTTTATGGTTATTTCAGTAACTTGATCGATAATCAGCAGAGTCTTCTAGTGACTCAGTCACTTGGGAAGAGTAAAAAAAGTTGCCTGACTGTCAAAGTACACAACATTCCCAAAAATGCATAAATAAAAAACACACTAAACATCAGCAAATGTGTGCACTGTGAACACAGTGCCTTAGGCAATGTTAATGCAAAGTTTGATCAAGACTGATCCACTTTTCTATCAGAAGTTGGGGACCATACAAAAATAGATACATATATTGTGATCATTACAGTACGATGGCTACTTTTATTTGAGTCATTCTCTTTTGAATGGCAAATGGTAAATGAACTGGTTCTTATATAGCGCTTTCCTACTCTATCTCAGCACTCAAAGCATTTTGCTCAGCTTGCCGCATTCACTGAGTCACACCTATTCACACAAGCATTTTTTTCTAAGCTCTGTCTATGTAAGTGGTTTCAAACTAGCAAATGAATATATAAATGAATGCTATAAATAAATATTTATGTTTAAATTTTCATCCAGACATATGACTTAATGTATGTCTTGATGTAATTTCATATAATTTAAACATCCTCTCTGCAGATCTTATTACCACGCTTTGTGAATTCATCTTAAAAGAGTCTCTCTCCCTCACTCACACACAGTCAGATTTCTTTCAGCTTGTCTTTCTCTGCTGTTGGATTAATTAAGTTAATGGGAGATGGAATTTTTTCTTTGATTAAATGAGGCCTGACCCCCCCACAGACACTTCCTGATGAAGAGGCTGGGTAATGCTGAGAAAGGTTGTTGCACAGCACTCTGATACACACACATCTGCCATTGAGACGACATTAACATGCATGCACAACCATGCACCCAAAACACATGCAGGAACCGCATGCAAACAACTCGAAAAGATCAACAGATTGTTGCGTGTCGTGCACTCACATGTGTGCAAGTCAGCATGCACAGTCACAGATCACCTCCGTGGCCCCTTGCTTTCCCTCTCCCATTTCAACTAATTAGGTCTCATTAAGTCATTAAAATGTTAGCAACCATTTCCCAGCTCACTGCCAATGGTTTCACTTGGTGCAAGGTGAGGATGTTTCAGATATAGATGTTCAGATATTATCCCACTGGTCCCTAAAAAATGGATTTGAGGTATGATGAGGAATATGCAAGAAAGAAAGGAAATTGATTTTAAAAAGGTTTAGCTATCTTTACCATTTTAAAACATTTTGCATCATAAAATTATTTTAATAGCTGCTTAATCTCGAAAGGTAGCTGTAGCAATTTCATAACAAAGAATTAGCATGACCTACTATCCTTTTAAAGATGCAGGCACAGTAAACAGTTATTCTATATTTCAAAAAAATGATATTTCATATGGGAATAAAACAACACAGTTGCACTAGAAACCTCAGCATGTCCTAGATATGTGCCCATGTGTCATAAACACAGACACACTAACATGTATTTGCCCCACAACACACTCACACATGTATGCGCTTCTGCTCAGTAACTCAGTAACTGTGTGTGTCTCATGAGGACACAATGTAGTGAAGGGGGG